TTTTTTTTTCTCTTTTCCTTAACCTAATAACAAAAACTGGTGAAAGGGATACTCTGATTTGAAAGGTAAGCAGAGACCCACCTTTGCCCTTGCCCCATCTCTCTCAAGCATCTGCAAGTACTTCAGAAGAAAATTTGTATAATCGGTGTACTACATTTTTTTAGGTACTTTCCATCTAAGGGATTCTATGAAATGTGGTGTTAAATACTTTTTTCCTGAAGAGTATCTTAGTTAAAATGTTGCCCTAGAAGGTAGTCAGAAGAATTACGGCTAGAAGAGTGCAGGTCAGTGCTGTAAGAAACTTCAATACTTGAGCTGTTTTTGCTCTTAGGAAAATCAAAGGCCTTTGCCAAGAAGTGTTTTTGTAATCTTGACAGGTCTTCTGAATTAAAAAGTACTCCATCGTGTATTAATGCTTGAACTTGGTGAATAGCAGAACTGAAGAGTAGTGGCATATGTTACAATTAGCTCTGTATTATCTTTAAGTTCCTGTAGTCTTTACCTGTAGTTTAATTATATTTAACATTAAATGCTGGTTTAGCATTGTAATTTTCTAATGTTGGTAGAAATTTATGACTAGTTTGGAAGCAGTGTTTCATCCACTTAAACGTTTCTGTTAGATTTAAGTAACTTTCAATATGTCTTATGAAAATCCTGGTTAATTTTTATTTCTGATTAAAATTTGGTTACAGTAAAAATTACTTTGATACTATAATTTTAGGACAATCTTTTCAGAAGTAAATACTGTTTCTGAAAGTTGAGGAACTTATTAGAAACTAAGTCTGTAGTTAACTTGTTTTGTGACTTGGCTAGGCACCTACTTAGCTGGACTGTTGAGACTTTATTGTAAGTGGTTTGTGAGGAATTTGTAAATATTTTTTGTGTTCTAGGTAGGTAAGTTAAAATTTTTCTTTCTTCTTTGTAGGTTCCCTCCTTCTTCACAGATGCTGAGAGGCGATCCGTATTAGATGCTGCACAGATTGTTGGCCTAAACTGTTTAAGACTTATGAATGACATGACAGCTGGTAAGCAAAAAATGTTTGTGTAGAGGTGAATATATTATCAAAACTAGACTTAAGGTACTCTGGGTGTTAGTACTTTCATGTAGATATGGACGGTGGTGAAATTAGAGAAAAATTTTGAATCTCAAACTTCTTTTGCAGCAAATAACTCATGCAAACAATACGGTGTCTAACTTCAAGAGATTTCATGGTCGAGCATTCAGTGACCCCTTCATTCAAAAGGAGAAGGACAACTTAAGTTATGATTTGGTTCCACTGAAAAATGGTGGAGTTGGAGTAAAGGTAATATAATTGAGCCAACCTGAGGTTTCTTAATAGGAGACTGTTTAATTCATCTATAGAGAAAGTACTAATTTATTAAATACTTAAATTTCTTAATTGGACAAGTGGTCTTTTTGTTTCTCTTTCATCTGGCTCCTTTTAAAGTGTAATAGATACATGCTAAATTGTCTTTGGAAGTAATTAAAGTAGTATATACTGCTATAACTTGTGTTTCTTCTAACTTCTTGGCAATTGTAAAATTTAGATTTATTTGATGTTTAAAAAAAAAAATCTACATTGTGTTCATGTATCAAACAAAAGCCTGTTTCAAGACAGTCCAGTTGTTAATTGTTTGGAGAGCGATAGTGTAATACAACCAGAAATATTTTTTTAAACTTGCAGAGACATTTTTGTCTTGTATTCAACACATAATAATATTTATTCCAGTGATTCATCTCTTCACATAATAATATTTATCCCAGTGATTCATCTCTTCAGTTAGAGTAGAAATTTTCTACCTTCTGTGTTTTGAGTAGGACTTTGGATGAGGGAAAATCTGCCCTAGCTTTTACCTCTCCCCTTCATCTATAGGTAAAAGTTCTTTCTTCCTTTTTTTCCCTTTGTTTTCCTTTCCTTCTTTTCTTCTTCCTCTCTTTCTTCTTTCCAGAACAACTATAACAGTAGAGATTTTGTGGAAGAGAATATGTGCTAATATTTGGAAGTTAATGTTAGCGTGTAGCTTAAATACTACAATGTTTAAAATGTTTTTTTCCTTCAATATAGGTAATGTACATGGATGAAGAACATCTGTTTAGTGTGGAGCAGATAACAGCCATGTTGTTGACTAAGCTAAAGGAAACTGCTGAAAACAACCTCAAGAAACCAGTAACAGATTGTGTTATTTCAGTAAGTATAATTCAGCAAGCCAATGTGTTTTATTTTAATTTGCCTTCTTTATATTACTTTTAAATATCAAATGTGGGAAAGCTGTTCTTTTACTAGAGATCAAAATTCTTTTGGACGGTATTAACAAGGTGTTCCAGAGCATTTCAAAGTAGGTTTAAGTGGTATTTTTAGCCAGAAGCTGCAGAGGTTCTTGACTGGAGGTATCAGAATCTCCTGTGGGACTTTTTTGAAAATACAAATTGACTGGTAGCATCTGTAGATATTCTAATGCAATTAGTTGCTATACTGTCAGACAACTTGTGGGAGCTTTTTCATGGGTGAAAGAATTCCACCCTCAGTTGAGAAAGCAGTGTGTTAGGAGTTTTAAAACCTAGCCTATTAGTGACAAAACCTAGATTTTTAGTACTGACAAGCCACTAACTTCAGTGGACAGTTGCTAGTTATATTATCAAGGAATACTTGGAATGGACAAGTTATCTTTTATTCCGACATCAAAAAGGTAGTTATGAATTCTTTCCCAAATGTCCTGGGTCACTTTTGATCTCCTGTAGGTCGTGCTCTTGTACTTAACTACAGCATGGTCTCTGCATTAAAGAGTGAACAGTGTGGCCTGCCCAGA